TATAAATGAAAAATTACACTAAATCAACTAAATCCACTGGTATATATAATTCAATCGGTCTATTGTAGGAATTTTCCGACAGTTGTAATAACGTATGAGACGTGACGGCGCCTGATGGTGAAAGTGAATTGTTGTTTGTATTGAACTGTACGAGACGAAAAACGCGTGATCCAAAAAACAAATCTTTCGGAGGCAAGGAATGTATACAATAAATAAATAAATATTTTAGGACACATTTTTACACAATATTTTTTAGTCCCAAACTAAGCAACGCTTGTACTATGGGTACTAGAAAACTGATAAACATACTTAAACATACTTTTCTTTTGTAAATAAATACATATTATACATATATAAACACGATGACACATACGTAAACGTGTGATGAACATAGTGTTTTTCTAGTGTCTGGCACTAGAAAAACACTATGTTCATCACACAATATTTTTCCACAATAGCAGTCAAATTAACTCTTATAGCTTTTTTAAAATTTCAGTTTAATGTCAATCATTACATGTGGTGTCTTTAAGTAATTGTTACACTAATATGTGTTTAATCTTAAGTTATTTATTGAAAGATTTAAGAAGTATCCAGTGTAAACAATTGTTGATAAACCAAAATAAATAAATAAACACGCAAGCGGTTAGCCTTATGATAAATGAAGACTGCTGTCCCTCTTATACATGGATGGCCAATAATCAGGGATGTTGGAGTTAACCGGAATAAGTAAATCCAAAAACTGTAAAGACGTTTATTTCTCGCCGTTTTTTGAGTTGATGCTTCCCCGATCGAAGTCACTTATTCATATGCTGCCGGTGATGTTATATAACCCCTTGTTGCTCTACCACCATAAAATTGCCATCAGAGATTTAGTATATCCATGAATTATGCATGCTGTTTTTTTATCACCTTAAAACCTATAAAATACGCTTGCAACATTTCTTAAACCATCTGTTGGTAGTGACCCTCTTTAAAAACCCAGCAGAAGATCAATTTGATCAGGTTTTTCAATCCATTTACTCTGGAATGAAATCATATTCAGTTTGGTATCATGTAATTTGTGGTATCAGATAATTTATTTGATCTAGACACCAAGCTCATGCAATGAACAAGTATGTGTATTTAATATGTCCTTCGTCCTTGAAGAACAGGCTCATTGTTTGTGTTTTTAACAAATCATAATATAAAGTTTATAGCATAAAATCGCCGACTATACAGTGGGTTACGAAACGATAATACACTAAACAAAAACTCAGGGGGTGTTACCGCGGGCAATAACTAGTATAACATAATTGCGTGAGGAATCGCATCGTATCGATAACCCCTCTCATGTAGGTGAGCCCACGGGTAAAAATAGCACGGAAACAATGCGTTCTCTTACGGGGTCAAGTATGTTTTAGAAGTGATTACTCGTTTAACATCATCTAAATATAATTTTATTTACTGATTGTTTTATGTTTAATGTCACAATACTTGATTATGGTCAAACGTTTATGATTAACTCTTTTGTCTCATATCTCCAACATTAGAAGTTATCTCTTAATTTGACCACTAGACATTCACACAATCCTCGGAATAATTTTAAGTTTTTAAATTTTTGCCACGATAGGACTAAAATGCATATTTTTGTCATATAGCATTGTGGTTACGGACATTCATAGAAGTCAATTTGAACTAAGCACCATTTAACTCGTTTATATGTAAAATGACTTGGTGTTTAAGCTATAAAGCTTTGGCGCCGTGGGTCGTGTGTTCGATCCTACTCGGAATAAGTATTTGTGTAAAGTAAAGTAACAGCCCATACAAATGTCCCACTATTGGACAAAGACCTTAGGTATGCGTACTTCACATATCAAAGAAATGTTTTTTTATAATTATTTCGAAAACATACAGGTTTCTCCATGATGTTATCCTTCGTCGCAGTGATCTGTACTTAAAATTTATAACTTCATTGGTGCCGCACCTGAACTGCTCCAAAATGAACATATTTCAGTTTAGGGAATTGAATTTATCAAATTACTGTCCCATTTCATAAACTAACAGTTAAAGAGGCAAGCTGTTAAAAATTACTTATAGCTTACTAGCAAATCTTTTAAAATTTAAAGTAAGTATTGTTTATTTTGAAGACTGTGAAGCGGATGGTATGGTGGTGTGTAGCAGATGTAAACTACATCAGATTGTACATTAAGTGTTTTTTTGCGCCGTATGAGGGACTTCCTGAAAATGAAAAAAGACGCAGCGTCGCATGGCCAAAAGATCGAGGCGATTGGTGTAGACGTTACTGGCAGTCAAGAGGTAGAACGTGATAGTGAGCTACCTCGAATCAAAGATAAATATTCCATGTGTTCCCAAGTCTCCTCTTTAAAGGGCTAGCAAAAACTGTCATACTGCTCTGAGGACAACAAGCTATTTCAATGAATGAATAAATGGAAATTTATTTAGTTTCAACAAACACAGTTAAGTTAACAATTAACAGAATATATAACGAAGGCATGAAACAAAATAGGTATGCACTATTATTTTGTGGCTAAATTTGTTTTCTTTTCCACATGATCGCGAAATAAACGTTATTTGATATGTCAATGATGGAAGATATGAATTCTGATAGAGACCGTGTTTTTGGGTTTGTTACCCTTTTAATTTTAGTGTATGTTTATTACTTTCATGTATATATGTATACATTTGTATTATAATATTGTATATGTTAGTACACAAGAAAAACAAAAAATTAATTACACAGTAGTTACTAGTTAGATTCAGCTTGTGAGATAAATGTATATAATAAATATTTGTGCTTAATTTTTTTATTCTTTTCTACTTGAATTTACCATTAAGAGCTATATTTCCTAATCCTACATTCATGTTTATAATTATATATAATTTACAATATATCGCTACCCATTATAGTAACAAAGTCTGTATTTACAGATTAGATGTTATTAGATTAGAAACTCTTCTTTATTAAGGCCAGATTCACTAAGAAGAGTAAAATATAAAAAAAAATGCAAAGCCGACTCGTACAATAACGACGAATATTGTAGTTTACATTTGGAATCGGTTATTGGAAAAAAGATTAATTAAATACCAGGTGTTTGTTAAAATATAGTCGAACGATTACGAACAATTTAATAACAAATGGAGTACTTTAAAAAAAGATTAAAAATATTAGCTTTTTAACTTGTCCTTTCTATTAAACCATGTTAATTATATATAAGCGGTTTTACTATTAATGTTGACAATGTGTTAAGACATATGTACGTTTGGGTTTTTTTTTAGTTTTACAACTTTCCTTAGATGGTTGGGGTGGCGGCGTTGTGACGAGTGCAGTGAATATGCTTTAGTCATTGAACTACTATTTGGTAGTAATATTAGGTAGTACTACTAGTTGTTGAATCTGGTGCCTATAAATATTTGACTTTATTAATATTTTGAGTGTTAGTAGACTGAACTTTTTCTATAGGAGAAAGTTGCAATTGATGTTTCATTGACAGAGCAGTAAAAACCACTAAACTCTCCCGCAGTAGAGCTTTGATTTTAATTTGGCTCGTATCACGTAACAGAAGACATCGCATCAACAAGTCAATAAGTTTTCGATCCCTGCATATTCGGATGCTGTGAACGGTGACCATCTCGCTTGGTTACAATGATGTATTTGTAAGCAATAATATGTTATTAAATGAAATAAATAAGAACCAGTTTAATTTGTGGATGCTTCGAATGTTTTGTGAAGAGAGACGCGGTCGATGGCCGACGCGAACTCGGCGCCCGCGCACTCACCACACATATTATGCGAGTGACACTTCATTATGCTCTAAAAGATACGCTGTTGTCGACTTATCGCCCACTATCTCCCTCAGCTGGCTAATTTGTTTCATTGCATCCAACAGCTATAACTCCGACGTGCTATCCTGACTCCAATTCAATAAAATCTACCTCAAGTAAAATACTATAATTGTTGCTTTATAAATTGGTTTATAAACTTTATTGAATTGCTTACGATTCAATGGTGCATTAGTTTTTGCTTTTTTTGGAGAAGGATTATTTGCAAAAATTTTAAATGCGTACACCAATACACATTCGGCTATTGCATGTTATCGGTAACCTGTGGAACCACAGAAAATACAATATATTTAGCCAGTGCAAATTTATATTACGATGATTTCAAATTTATATTTGTACATCTAAGCCCAAGAAGAAACTGATAAATTTGAAGGTGGGCTACCGTAGAGATTGTTAGATCGGAATAAAATAATTGACGATAGTCCGGGTCAACTCTGACGTCAAACAACTCTGTCTGCCTCTTGACCATGAACGGTGTACAGTGTTCGAAAAGTCGTGAAATCAAATTAAAAACCGATAATATCCGTAAAACAGCCTTATTTAACCACATCGTTAAAGAAACTCATACAAAAAAAAATAAAGACACCTCCAGGTCTAAACGGGATATATAAAGATAGCTGCTAAAGTTTCCTGGTTAGGAACCACCGACTAGACAGGACATTATCTCGTTGTATACAACTAAAAAGTGGAACTAGAAAACTCAATGACGTCACTGAGACTCGATTCCGATCTAACTTAGCGAGATAGGCGTCCTAGCTTTTAACGGCTATTTTCAGTATACCATCCTCAGATAGATTTGGTTACTAGCGATAGGTACATGGCATGTAATTGACATTAACTCCATAATACTTACGTCAATTCTATCACCATTAACCAAATCCATCCGTAGAATATTGGAACCGGCCTTAATTTGTCATCAACTGAAATCATTTGCATAACACATAAATATACTTATTAAAAAGGTAAATTGATAAGTATGCATTTTAGTTTTAGTCCGTAAGTGGAATATTTTTATTTAATCAAGATTAAAATAAAATGTAAACAGTTTCGAAGTCATCACTGTTTGTTCATTGGCTATAATATACGAAGTCGAATTAAATTATGTTGAAATAACAGAGAGAGTAGTAACCAAGAGACAAAGCCCTACCTACACCGATTCATTCGTGGCTTTTTGTCTGGGGGGAATGCGAGTCGTCAGACTTTGGTCTGGTCTGCAGGGCAACAGCGCGGGGGGCCCTGCGTTGCCCTTTTGTTTTTATACCCGTGCAAGAATGCAAAACAATTATAATTCCCTCAGGGATAAGTAGACGCGATGCTTGGCAGCGGAGCGTAATCGCGGACCACCATTCTTCTCGTGTCTCATTCGTCTTGCGGCCTCGAAATTGGCACTTTATTTGATGGCCTACTAGAGTGATATGCGAGCGAATTACCCGTAAAAGTGAAGCTGTATTAGCGCGCAGGGAGTGGTCGCCGTAAAGCGCGCAGAAGGCCGAGACGGCGTAGAGGGCGCGGGCAGCGGCTCTCACAGGCACCGACCCTGGCCAATCCATTTACGTTAATTACACCGAGATGGGGATAAATCGGCGTCCAGCCGTCCACCGCCGAGTTACGAGCGAGCCGACTATAAAATAAATTATACCCACTTCGCTCGCCTCCACTCAGGTTTTTTGTTGGCGTCCGCGTCGTGGAAAAAAAGGAATAAGAGAGAGAAAAAAAAAGAAACAAAAGCAAAACCTCGAGAGGACGAAATACGAGGCAAAGACAAAGCTTAAATTTATCTACTGATAATATAGACGTAGGGCGGCGGGCGCGGCAGACGCGGAGTTGCCGGGTGGCCGGCCAAATTATACAGGCGGGCATTCCGGTGTCCCGGCAAAAACATGATATATGGCCGCCTTGTGACGAAATATTTGAAATTTAGAGACCCGCCACACTCTATACGGAATCCACTTCAAATATTATCTCAGGCATTCCTCGCGGACGACTTCATAAGTGTCTGCGTGATATTTAATTCATCGTTCTGATGCTTGCGAACATTTATTTTATTTTATTAGCATCAGCATGGAACGTCGAAAATTTTTAAGTTTTCTTAAACAATATTTTCGCAGGTATGTCGTCATAGGTTTAAGCGTTATAAGTTATCTAGTTAAAATGTATTGAAAATAAACTTGCCTATTTTAAAGAATATCAAGTTTTTAACGGTAATCAAAAGATTTACTACTGATTTTTTTATTTCTTAATAAATGTTGTTAAATAATTTTCATAATGTTACACTATTTAAATTGCCGTAACTCATTAATAATAAAAGAAATTACCTAGTGTTCAGCAAATGATGTTTATTGTTAATACCCTAATAAGATTTTTGAAAATAGTAGGTATTAATAACATCCCTTTAACAAATTACGATAAATATAACTGAAACTATTTTTAAGTATAATGATTTTTAATTATATCAAAAAGTAAAATATCCCATTCTTACTAAATTACTTAGTGTAAAGATAAAAAATATAAATTGATGTTACAAGCAGACGTTGCATATAAAATTAGGTTGATAGAGGTCTCACAGCATTAATTCGTATGTTCAAGTGTGTGTGCGCGTGTATTATTGTAGCAATTCAATGGAAGCGTTTAACCATGACCTCAACCCATCAGAAACTGCAGACGGCCGTGGCCGCCTGTTTAGTCTAAAATCTTGACCTTTAAAACTCTAGAGGGAGACCACTATAATGCCCGCCAGTCTAGTCGCTCTATGGTACTGTTGTTTTGAAACAAAAACTGAGTCGTATTTTAAACCCATTCATCACTTTTCATTGGGCATTTTAGGGTATCAAATTCTATGACTGTTTTAGAAACATTCATATTAGTCATGCCAAAAACTATTTTCGTACTCGTAAATATTGTTTTTATATTTGAAGTACCTATATTTATTTTCTTAATTTTATTTTGTTTTTTATTTTTAACTAGTGATTACAATTATTCATATTGAAATTTTCAATGAGCTTAATTGTCAATTGTGTTGTTTACATTTCTAAGGGACATTTCATTCAATAGAAAATCAATCGACTATATAGATATTTATATTTTTTATTATATCATTATCATTTCAATAAAATAATAATTACACGAGTATATATACAGAAAATTTTATGTACAGAATTCGAGGCCACAACTATATGTACACTGGGTCCACGAGTTATCACTAGGTCTGCACCAGATCGGGAACGGTGCCTTCGTCATCGGCATCCGCATCCTACCACCATCATGTCTTGATAGTTTTTAAGCACCACATTGTTCACTTCGTCCATATACAACATAGATATTGGCGAAAGCTGCGTGGGCACACAGCACGCTTTTGGCACTGCCGCCGGGTTCACTGAGTTCACAAGCGTCTGCACTATCGCGTGGTTGGTGCCGTTCAGGTGGTCGGCGAGCGGGAACGGGCAATCGCCCTGGCAGTAGTAGGCGTCGTAGCCATGCGGCGCCACTATCCAGTCGCTCCAGCCGACGTCGGCGAAGTCCACGAACAGCGGTCGCCTCTGGCAGATCTCGCGCGCTTCCTTGCGTCTGTGGTGGGCGCGATGGCCCCTCCTCTGCGCTGCGCGTTTGTTTCTCACCAGGCGCGTCTCGCCACTCTCCCGGGCCGCCCTCGCCCTCGCGTCCTCAGTGTACAGCAACAAGAGCGGCTGCAACGCTCTCCACTCATCGTCCTCCTCCGTCGCCCGTCTCCTTACTCGGACGTGGGGTGTGCGTGCGTCGGCGCCCTTCGCCTCCTCATCGATGACCCTTATCAGCAGGCCGTGGTTGTGCTGCGGCTCTTGCAACCAGCGCCGGGCGGCGCTCAGCGCGTCCGCTTTCACTGCACCGTCGCCCGCTCTCAGCGGGACAGAGTCCAACAAGCGCATTATGGGGCCGGTGCGACCCCGCCGCCCGGGCCTCACGATGTCGTATAGGAGGAGGCGCTGGACGCCGCTGGCGTTGTGCACCCTCTGGAGGGTGAGGTCAGCGCCGCGGGCGACCTCGTCCGCGGGCACGGCGCTCACGTTGAAGTAGAGGCGGAAGCGGTGGTCGCCGGGGAAGCGGCGGTCTAGCTCGGTGGGCGTGTGATGGAACGAGCGGGCGGTGTTCGCCGCGGCGGCTGGGAGGGCGCCGTGCGCGTCGTACAGCACGCGCATGGCGCGCGGCACGGGCGGCGGCGCGGCGAAGCGGCGCGCCGGACGCCGCGGCAGCCCCAGCAGGGCGAGCAGCTGCCGCTCGGCTGCGGCGCGCGCCTCGGGCTCCAGCGCCGCGCAGAGCGCCACCAGTGCGCACACCACCGCGCACGCGCACGCCCCACGCATAATTCTCCTCGACCCACCTGCAACGAAAGGGCCCCTTCTTTAAACGATACACAAGTGACATAAAGTAAAAAGTAAAGTAGCCTGCTCACGTGTGGGAAAGGGCCTGCTCACAAAGGGTATTAGGGCGCGATCTACAACGCGCCCCATTTTAGATTAGACTTCACATATGTATGCAATATTTATCTTATTATTTCGAAAATATGCAGGTCTTCTCATGGTGTTTTCTGTCACAGCTAAGCACGTGATAAGTCAGCATTTAAAATTGCAATTAACAATTTCATTGATACCAGCAATGGGATTGGGCACTGACCACGAAACTGCTATTATATCTCTGCTGAGCTATCACAGCTCCAAATGACATATAAAACTACATAATCCGATAAAATGTTTAGGATATTCTTATGCACACCATAAATAATTCACAAACGTTTCAAGCTGTAATATAAACTCGAATGATAAATGATATGAGTCTACTTTGAAGCTTGAATATTGAATAAAGGTATAAACAATGAAGCAAATTATCTTAACCGTGTAAAATTTCCTGGATACGAATCGACGTGGCATTTGTAAATAGGAACGGCTCGGCAAAACAAAGGTTGACATTGTACGCGACCGGCAGTCAGTTTATCTCGCTACTTCTAATGAATGCACTAACCCACATTGTAATTTTACTCTTGCGACTTACGTGACCGAGTTTTATTCTAACGCGCTTACTGAGCACTGCGTGTGAAAAAAAAGAATTTGAGAACGAAATAATTTTTTATAAATTAAAATTAATTTAATAAAATAGAATTAATTACACCAGAATATCATAAACTAGAAGCGATAGGCTCAATATCTTACGGATCAAATGGAATAGAATAAAAAAAGCTAAATAATAAATAAATATGAAAAGCAAAAAGTATTTCAATATTCACTACAATTGTTGACTTTTATCCAGGGCATTAGAATACTGGGGTACAGAGTAAATTCTCCAAATAAGAAATGAAACAAAAATAACTAAAAGTCATATAATGGAGAATAAAGTTAAAAGCAATAAATTAAATACAAGTACTTAAAACAATTCATATCTAATTAAAGTTAACAAGAAGAATTGAATTAATGAATACTGTCACACTGCGTATAAATATTTCAACGATTGACTGAAGAATGGGGTTTCCGTTCTAAGTTACCTTTAGAGACGAGACTTGTGATTGTTTGCTCTATATTTAAGCGCCGATAGTAGAATGGATTGGGGTTAAGGTTCGGTATTGTCTGGAGCTGTTGCCTCCTCACCGTTCGACAAACGAAATACATCTGAGGGCGATTCGCCAGCTTGTCTACTTATAACGGAAAAACTATGGCGACCGAGTCCGAAATTCGCACAAAGACAGGTTTTCCTATCGACGGACGGGTAACATCACCGGGCCTATTCCGATTTTCACAAAGCCAAGGTAAACAGCTGGATTTACGCTACGCGCGCATTGTTATCATGGGTCGCCTGCAACTGAACGTTAACGTACTCGTAAACGTTGCAGTCAATGTAACTGAAAAGTTCACATCTTAATGTTAACGTTAACAACGTCTAATAAAGAAGAAGGAAACGTTTTTACTTGTAAGCAAATAGATAGAGGTCCATATTTTTCAAGTTTCGTTCAACAAAAATTCTGCGTTAAAATAGTATTATCGTCCCATACAATCTCACGCACACATTTGTCAAAAATTGTACGTTATAAAACAACGTAGTGACGTGCAACTTAATGCGATATTTTATTCTATTTTATGCATTTTTCAATTTGTATTCATAGCTGTGTTCCTATAAATATGTTAATCTTATTATATTATACTATTTATTTGACAATAATAAAAACAAAGCTCACAAAGTCAGCTGATGAAACATTTTAAGTTTATCTACAATGGAAGTGTGATAATATTTTCATGTCACTTAGAAAAACAGATTAAAACTTAAACTTACTTAGAAAAAGCTCGCTACTCGTTTACAAGGGTAACGAAACACTTGTTTGAATAGGTAACATTTACGACTATTAAAAATATCGTCCCCTTATCACAAACACAAATAAACAAATCGTAGAGTGTGTATTAATTATTCGTAGCACAGCACATAACCGTTAAGAACATTAAAATTCAGGATTACATAAACAGCTAAACACCGTACTCTATCTTAACACTTTCCAAAGTAAGCGTTAAGTAAAAGACATCAACGAGATGCATTCACGACTGGCTCCCAAGAGCACTAGAGGCGGACAGGTGATGGATCGACATCGTTCCCTACAACGAGCCTTGTCACGATGCGGCAGTGATGCACTTCATGAAAGTTTAATCTGTGCAGATGACAGAAACCTGTCGAGATGATTTTATCACAAGAAACTCTAAGTGGAACCGAATACAGGTTCAGCTTTGACGAATGCGTGTTCTGTTGTTATAATGTTTTGATCGCTCTAGCGCGACCGACCGGATCGCGGCGTACGTATTTCGAAAATAATGCGGTCAAACCAGCCGCGGGCGGGCGCGCGGCCGCTCGCCTCTCTCACTCACCCGAAATCAACGCATCCAACGTCGGTGGCGACGCGGAATCCGCGATCGTTGGCGTGGGGCGACACTCAGCGTTTAGGGAGCAAATGGGCGAGCGGTTCACGAGCGGGCCGTGGGCGCACGGCGGGGTAGCGGCGCGGGAGCATCACTGGCTGGGGGCGCGTGTGCGTGCGGTGGCGGCGCGGCGTGGGCGCGCATCGCGTGTTCGCGTGTTCGCGTCTTCGGCGGCGTGGCGCGTGCTTCGGCGTGCTCGCGGCGCGGTCCTCGCGGGCGGAGTGGCGCTCCAGACGCGGCGGCGTCGCCGCGGGCGTGCCGGCGCCCCGCCCCACTCCCCACCGCGCCCTCGCACCCGCCGCTGACCCCCCCACCACCTCCCCTCCCCCCTGCGCCCGCCGCGCCCCCCACACCCGCCGCACCCAACCACCGACCACCACCGCGCCCTACACCCCCCCAGCCAATTCGCCTCTCGCGGTCCTCTCGCTTAATTCGTCACGTTATAATAACAACAATCGTTCGACGAACTAATACCACTCAGGATGTCACAGATATGCTCTACGTTATGTTATGAGCCTATCGAAGTTTTCTTTAAAGTTCAATTTGTGCATGCTTATTTAAAGTACATTCCGACATAGCTTGAAGCAAACTTCCTTTTGGGGCAGCCATTGTTTTACTTCTGACTTGCGTCGTTTTAAAATAATTAAATTTAATTTATTAACAATTTCCGGTTACTTCGTTTTCAAATGTAATTTTTTTACTTTCCCAAGTTTGTGCTTTTATACGTAAATGGTAATCCGTAATTAGTTAGTTTTTTTCTTAGAACGTTCCGTGTAAAGCACCGCAGTGAGTCAGAGTCCCGTCTGAATTTCCCACATTCAATAATAACGATAACACTCGTTACTGAGCTTATCAATTCTTGAATAATAACTGAATTCAGTTGTTTGCACTTTGCATTGTGTTTTAATTGCATCTGTTTTTATCCAGTGATTTGTGCAGATTAGCACCCTTTTATGAGATTATACATTCTATAAATAATTTGTTATGTGTAGGTAAAAGTTTGGAATGTTCTAAAAGCGGTTAAGAATAAAAGCAAAGATAGAAAAATGTTACAATGATACCACATTGATGCCTCATAGGCCTATTTGTAATCTTAATACCAGCACGAAGAAATCAATTTATCGTTACACATTATAACAATACTTTAAATTGAAATATCAATTTTAATTTCAACATTGCAGTATCATTCACATTTTAAATAATTTTTTTTTTCCTATTTGAGATCGAGTAATCCATACACCCACCATTTCCCTCTTATTCCTGGTAGGTACATATTCCTTATACCGTATGTTATTTATAAAATTTACCTACATTAAACAATGCTAATTATAATGTATGATAAGTTATTGTTACAAGGCTTAACTGACGTTATCATAAATTATTGCGACGTTGTTATTGTTAACGACTCGCGCAGAACATTTGAAATATTAGAGTAATGTATTGACGTGATGTGATTTCAGAGACGAGAAACGAAAGTCGAACGTATCGCCGCTCTTAAAGGTCCACAGATAAAATTAGTTTAAGAGCAATATATAATCTATAGCAGAATTGTTGTACAGCATTCCATATAGTATAATGACACTGAATTGATAAACTATCGTCGAACCCTCGTACGGCACAAAAGCAAAATTAAATCAAAATAATTTACTTAAATGAGGCTACAATATATATGTCACAATATGTCAAAATTAAATGTTTAACCATTTAATATTTAAAATGTGCATCTAAACGATATCGATCATAGCATACAATACAATACAAAATTTAATGGGTATCGACCAATACGGGGTAGTTGTCTTTCATTTAACAAGCCAATAATAAGAGCACTTACAGAAACACAAAAACGGATTTGTCGAATACTATACGAAAATCAGTTGGCATGTTGCTATAAGAAACAATTACTCATTTGACTTTACACCGTTTAACGATTACCGGTACAAAAGTCTTTTATCGAATCGGAAAGAGTTCTCTACTAGATTAATACGTAAGTTGCGAACATTTCCACGTTCGGTTAGATAATGAATAAACGTCTCCCGTTCTAGTATTGGCCGACACCTGCGTCGAGATAAACGCTTAAAGTAAATATTGCGAAGGGAAATTTTTAAATACGCACCCGACGCGCGTTTGAGCGATGAGTGTACGGTTTAACAATGATTGAAAGTTTGGTTCAGGTGCTGAGATATTTTATTTTGATAACGTCGCGCACGTGGCGGTAGCAGATGTTAACTGTGTCATTTTTTATCCGATGGCAAATCTCCGACGTACGTGCGCGCTACAACATAAACGTTGTTCCAGAGGTGGTCTGACGTATATGATATATATTTTGCCGCAAATAGCGGAAATTTCGAGATTGTTCTAGAATTGTAGACTGTTTTTCAAAAAAAAAAACATATTTATGTATAGGGTATTGAGCTTTTCAAGCAATAATATTTCCTTAAGCATGAAACTGTAAAAATAAAGACTGGCATAAATATTTATTCAGATAGTAAGAATTCAAAAATGTTCTTAAATTACCTATTGATATAAATTAACATAAATACAAAGCAACGTACATTTGGGGAATAAAATTCTTACAACCTCCTCCTCCTGTCTATCTATCTCCTAAAACACAAAATAGTAAAAATTAATGCAGCAATTTATATCTGTCGGTAAACAGTGGAAAACGTAAAATAAAAATTGAGAAACATACACAGCATCAAATTTTTGTAAAGATTTGTCTAAAATTAACTATTAAATCGGCCATCAGTAGTCAGCATAAAAACTTGATTTTATCTTTAATACTTTAGTTTTTGGCATGGCTGAAAAATGAAATAATTTAAAATGTAATGTTACTACAATATTTTAAGACCAGTTTTCACAAATGTGTTAAATATCGCATATATACTTTCATCACATGTATACATCTTCTTAGATATGAAGAAAGAAATTCTATAAAATGTATAGTTATAAAATTACTAAATAATATAAAACTAATTTACTGATTTTTCAGTTTAATTCTCTTCTTTGATTTCCCTCCATCTTTCCCTGTTCAAAGCCCTTCCTTTACTTCTCTATAGGAACGAACCTTTATTTCTTCTTTATTTGTGATATGTAGCCTATCCTCAGTCGCCCTCTACCACGCTTTCTTTCTGTCTCTCCTTTCATGATCTTATTTTATTACAGCTACAAAAATTCTGAGTACTCTTCACTTTTTTATCAAACTTACAAAAACTAAAATTAAAAGCTTATAGCAATAAATCGTGCACATAATTATGTAATGTTTTCAAGAAATAAATGCTAAATACAGGAAATCTTTGGGCACTGCTATATCACCAAGCATTATCGACACCAACTACCGACCCACAGCCTATTGACATTAAGAAAGATAGTTCTGACATAGACTTTGAATCACAAATTTGTTCTTTAAATAATTAACAATTTGACTGCACTATTTAGGTAGTCTGCCAATGGCGCCGTTTTGAGGGTTCAGTATCGATTAGAGATGAAAATGTGTGTGATCGATAAATGAATGTCTGAGTGTACCTTGTGTCCGTGATTTTATGTTTGGGAAACATCGATGTGAAAAAAGTTCCTAGTGCGGAACTCTATGCCTTCAAGTTTATTATTTATAGTATATCGATATTACTGTGTTCATATGTATGTTAGCTGCCCTATCGGCCATGCTCGTCCGGAAAGTTATTCTCGCTTTATAGCTGATTGGCTTGTAGTAGAAGCATTTCTAATTTTGCTTTTCTTTCAGAGATGAGGTCGCAACCTACTGAAACAAAATTGCAATCCTAAAGATTTTTTCGATGTTATTGGGTAGTGGTAACTCAAGGGAACTGTCTGCTTTATTTCTTATATTCATAATTGAAAATATTATATACTTAAAAGCTGAGGGATTTTGGCGTAAGCTTTATTACCAGTTTTACCTGTTAAAACGTTAAATGTCCAATTACAAACTTTTGAAAGAGTCTTACAGTTCATCAGAATCAGTTTTTAACATTCGATCAAACACTGTTTCCTCGAAGGACTGCGAATTATTTGAAATTGTGAAGTGTAAATAATTTTTCAGAGTGCAAAAAGGGTATTAAATGTCAAACTAAATTGAGTGAATCTTTTAAAATAAGTACAAGATTGTCGCTTTAATTCACGCCTTCGTCAAAGTACTCAACGTTAACTTTTAACAAATGCTATCGTACAAAGTAGTAATTCTTCAAAGGAGGCTGACAGCTTTATTATACACGCTTCCTTAAATAACTTGCATTTCGCTGCAGCTCTGTATGTAAGAACGGTAACCCACTTTTTTTCTTCACGAATGTATTGCCACGCACGCTGAGTTATTTGTATTGAATTGAAGATATGCACTTAGTAATTTCATGTCTCCACTAAAAATCACATCTTTCTTAGAGCCTTTATATTCGATAAATATAAAATATATTTTAAAGTTTTGTGATGCATACTTCGCTCATTCCTATTGTACCTCATTCACAGCCCAAATCATGTTCCATTTAATATGTAACGAAAAATATCAAATTTAATATGCACAAGTCTTACATGAATTAAAATTGGAAACAGTAAATCACTGGTTTTATTTACGAATGATCTCTTATCTTAGAGGAGCCAAAGCAACAAACGTATTCACATAAACTTCGATATCTAAAACAAACGTTAAGATTATCACACGGGCAATACGCTTGTCCGTACAGCAACGCACACATACACAAGTAACACACAACTCGTTTTAAGAGTGCATGCATTAAATTGAAATTGCGTCGATGTGTTATCGTACCTACACCGGCTACTGGAGCCGTTACGCGCAAATAACGAACTGTTGTTCTTGTTTTTTTTTCTCACTCATTTTTTTGGCGCGTGTCTCTCGTGGGCCGTTATACGCGAGGCGTTGGCAGCGAAAGTTAGAACTCGCTCGGAATTTTATACCAGTTTTTCGTCGAGGTTTAGAATTCTTTTCGGCCAGTACTCATTTTTATGGACGTGTTTTTCGATAATCTGTGCATGTATCAATTTTAAAATATTATAAAACCAAAGGTTTGTGATCGGATAGTTGTAAACGTGTGCGTTAAACTAGCAATGTAATTAAAAATATAAGTTACGATTTGTTTTAATACAGAAAAACATTAATATCGACAACTTTAATAAACGACAAACACTTAAGTAAAACAGTGGAAATAAGATGTTGATAAAAATATATGTAACAGACAAACTCAATCTATTTGTATGTTTAACAATCAAGCAAAAATTCCTGACTTACATAATAATGCTGCTTATTTACTTTAAAATAAATATCCGTTTCCACGTGGCA